TTTTTGATCGTTTCCGAGCCAGACGAGGGCGTACGAGCTTCAGATGCCTACAGGTAACAGCAGCGTCACCTGCGCCACGTAGTCTCCTCGGTAGAAGGGTGTAACAATGGAGTGTACTACACTCCGCCATTCAACAGTTATGACACGATGAGTAATCTACAGAGGCAGTTCTTTTATTGTTATATGTCTGCAATGGACTGTGTTATGTGTGTGTGTGTGTGTGTGCAGTGGTAATAGTCTGCCAGTTTAAACCACATATGTACGCTCCAGAGTACAAGAGGGTTGCAACCAACAAAACAAAAACAACAATCAATAATTGCCACAACTTTGTTTGCCCAAGGCAAACCTGTTGGTTACCATAATGCAAATGCGATTAGAAATTATAATGCATGAAGCAGCATTGTTTTTGGAAGCAAGCAGCCGGGCACGTGTTGCACGAAAGCCTGGTTGTGGAATGGACTTAGCTTAGCGTTGTTCACCTGTGCCCAGTCCTATGGTATGTGGTTTATGGTTAAGTGACACGGTTTTGTGTCGTTCACCGTACACGCTTATTGGAGCAGAGCATGTTTGGACACAGATGTTACTTCCATCCTCCACAAGTACTTCATGTTGTTCATTTGACTGCTGACAATGGTGATGGAGCTCCTGTGGTCACGTCCAGGGTCTTTGATCGTTGAGTTAACGGCACTAGGACCATAAACCATATGAATTAAAGGCAGATGATGGTGCAATCGCGTGCGCAATAATAAAATTCATGCCCATCCCTCAGTATACAATGCAAGCACACTAAGAAAGTCAAATGAATGGGCGCATAGCTTCTGGTTGCTTAGTGGTGAGCAATCCGTGTCTAAACCTGGGTCGTGAGCCGTGAATATGGGCCGTTGGCACCACACCATCCCACCGCGTAGCGTAGCCTTCGCATACCCCCTTTCCCCCCACTCTCTGCCTCCCCTCCATTCTTCTCTCCCATTTTACATTCAGCTGGAGTGACAATTTCGCACTCCAGGGGTGAAAAACGTCACAGCAGGACAGAGGGGGCAAGCCAGACAGAGGGAAGACATCATGCACAGCAGTGCATGAAGCTGACACGGCAGTGCATGAAGCTGACACGGCAGTGCATGTGCATGAAGCTGACACGGCAATGCATGAAGCTGACACGGCAGTGCAAGCCACACGCCAACAGAGGCACACTACCAACCAGAGGAAGCACAGCATGCACGCACCAGTGAGGTGAGCCTGCTGGTAGTCCTGCCAGCTGAGCGGAGGAAGGCGAGCACGCGGTGCTGAAGGGGGGGAAAGGGAAGGGGAGGGGAGGAGGAGAGAGAGAGAGAGGTGGGTTTAGAGAGGGGAGAGGGGAGGAAGAGGGGGGGAAGGCGTGGCGTTTCTAACGTACCTTAGAAACGCGTGCTTCTGATGTTAAGCATTCGGTGTGCCATTGGTATGTTGAACACAGCGAGATCTGATATTGCGCTTCTAATAGCAGCCCGAATCGCGCGAATTCGTCGCGCGTTGATGTTCCGAATCTTACGAATTCGTTCTCTGGCAGCGTCAAGTCAGACGGGATCGTCCGACGACGAGTCCGACAGGATCGCTGCCATCGTCGCGTAAGCCGCTTCCGCGTCGCACTCTTGTAACTGCACCGCACGGGCAATAGCATTATAGTAGAGGGGGAGGAACAGAAATAGCATTATTACCCGACACTTCTGACTCTTATTCGACTCCCCCCGCGTCGGCTGCACATCCCCCGCGGAAAATTCAGCAGAGTCGACTTCCCAGCCCCGTCTTGCCCCGACTGTCTGTGGCACAGTCGCGACCCTTGTCCCCACATCAACCACCGAAAACGCGAAATTCGGCCGGCTGGGACAGGAGAAGGAAACTTCCTTCAGCTGGAGCAGAGGCGGCGTTAGTTCGGTAGGTTCGGGAAAATGGAATTCGTAGGCGAAGTCTCGCCAAATCTTGGGTGCTTCGGCTGGTCTGTCGACGTCTGCGTCTCCTGCTGAGCTGGCGCAATTTTGCCGCCATTCTGATCCTCTTTGTGTGTGTTGAACTTGGCCTGTCGGGGGGGTCAAATCACCGCGATCCAAGCTTCGATCCAGATCCGAATGAAAGCGTCTAGCCGTGTAGAATGTAGAATCAGACGCCTAACCGTCTCCGGAATCTCTCCCGGAGGCGGCGGTGCGTGCGAAAGTGACAGGAGAGATCTGGCGAGCAAAGCGAACTGCTGCCTGTGGTTGTAGTAGGCGCGTTAGCCTGGGCGACGCGAGCGACTGCAAATCCCCTGGGGTCGCAATTGTGTGTCTGATGAGAAACGCGCTAGAACGACGCGACTTAGTTCGGTGCTCGCACCACAGGCTTCAAGCTGCGAAGATCTCACTGCACTAAGGTAGGTAAGTGAACCACTCCGACGGTGAAGCTCTTGGTGTGTTGTCCTAGTGCAATGCTTTCTGGAGTGATCTCTTCGAATTCGAAGGAATTGGTTCAGGAGGCCCTAATGTCCTCGCGATTCCCGAAGGATGCGGTTCAGGAGTGACGCACTGTAGCAAACCGATGGTTCAGGTCTCTGGCTTGACAGTACCATTTGATTGGAGGCGGGGTTCGAACGCACTGTGCAATCTGAGGCAATGGTTGGAAATTCGTAGGACACGTGTACAGTGAGTCCAGCGTGACTTCAATCGTAGGACACGTGCCTTAGAGCCCAAAGTGCTGGATGACTGGCGGACAACTTGTCCAGCTTGAACAGTGTCAAACACCATAGCAACTGGGTCAACTGGAGTAGCGCCCATGGAAATGTGCGTCGAAACCTCATTGGTGAGGGACAAGAAGGCGCTGTGCGATTGATGAACGTGCAGAAATGTCAGTCGCAACACCAATGTGCAACCCGAACACCGACGTGTTGGGCAGCGATTTGTGGAGCATCGTGGAGTGCAGATTTTGATTGGTTGAGAGCGAATTGTCAGGTTTGTCGAAGCAACAATGTCGGTTGGATGGTTTGCGCTGCGCCTGCGACTCTGGGCGAACGCGTTTCCGATGATTTTGATAGGCCGAAATTATTGAGACGAACTCAAAACTCACACACGGGTGTCAGATACGGATAAGATTGACGGCAAAACAGTCGCATGCAGGCAAGTGACCTGGCAAGACCACATGGCCGCGTGTCTGAAGTTAAACGTTGACGGATGTACATTATCGTCCAGGAATGTCGGCGAACGTCAGCCCTCCGATCAAGCATTCCGACCGTCAAGATTCTTCGACATCTCAAAGTTTCGTCATGAAACGTCGACGTTCACTCTAGACACGCACTTTCCTCATCGCAGACATAACATATGTATCAAGGTGGTCAAACGGATTCGTTACTACGACATGCAGTCGCGTGTAACCTGTGGTTGTTAGTAACCACATGGAATGCCTTGTATGTCGTATTGTCATTATATTCCCTATTACATGAGGGCTAATAACCGTGTGTAGATAATTAATTTCGGTTTTGAAGTGATGGAATGGAAAAACAATTAGCTATAAGCCTAACAATCACCATAAGGCAAAAAGACATACTGTGATACTTTTATTCGCATTTTTGGTTATTCAGGTTATGTACATTTCTCAGATTTGTAGCAAGGTTCATGGTTTGTTATTTAGCAAATGTACATTTCTCAGATCTGTAACATGGTTCATGATTGGGAGGGAGAAGCAAAAAATGCAGGGGGCAAGCAAGAGACGCAAGTGCTTGCGAGCGAGAGAGGCGGAGGACCTGCAGAGAGGCAGGTACGCGGGGGAAAGGGGCGGGAGAAGCAGCTTCGCTGGGGGAAGTGGAGAATTTAGATGTACACTGCGTACGGGGCGATACGAGGTGGGCTGGGGCGAGAGTCGATAGAACCCATTGTACAGTCCCGTTAAAGTCCAGATTCGTCGTACACTCACAGAGTAAGTATGGAATATCAAAAGAGGTACAGCTTCAAAAGGGCTGAATAACCAGAAATCAATAATTAAAAACAATAAGTACACCCAAATATACAAAATATTATAACACATGCCCTCATCTCATGTTTACACAGCAGTTTAGACAACGGAAGACACAATTACTCCATAACCTCATGGTACCTGATACCAATTAAGATGTTTTTTTGTGTACAACCTAACAAGTGTAGAAACATTCGCAGATCAATCTTATTCGACAGGGATTCAGACTATTCTAATCGTATTCGTATCGTACGTGGGTCTGTATTCGGCCAAATAAGAATTCACGTACTATTCGACAAATATTCGAATAAACTATTCGTATTCGTATTCGTATTTACAGGCTTACGCCCCGCACGTCACTGCACCACACAGCACCACATTCTCCAAGACAACACCACGCCAGGCGAAGATTGCAGGGTTTGAATACGTCTCGCGCAGGGCGGCAGCAAGTGGAGAGGACGTGGTGGTGGGCGAGCTCGAGTACGTGGACCCGCACCTGCTCACTGAGCAGCCCACACCCACCAATGACCTCTACAGGTGCCAAGCCCATCTCTTCCTCTCAGTCCGCCCATCTTTGTTGCAAAATACGCCAGACACGTCATTTATGCTTTTAAGGGATTACACTGGCGTACAGTGTTAAACTGCTGCATCCCGTACTGGCTCACTCGCCATCTGGTTACCAACTCAGCATTTGGTTACCAACTCAGCATCTGGTTACCAACTCACCATCTGGTTACCAACTCACCATCTGATTACCAACTCATCATCTGGTTACCAACTCACCATTTGGTTACCAACTCACCATCTGGTTACCAACTCACCATCTGGTTACCAACTCACCATCTGGTTACCAACTCACCATCTGGTTACCAACTGACCATCTGGTTACCAACTCGCCATCTGGTTACTGACTCGCCATCTGGTTACCAAGTCACCATGTGGTTACCCCTAGCCTAGTGCCCCCTCTCCTGCCCATGGTGCTCGCTGTTCAAGGGCATTGTGGGCTTTATGTAGTTTGGTTTCTCTTGAAACCCAACTGCACGCACATGGAGGCTGGTTTGTTGCTCCCGTTTGCATGCCTCTTCCATGCTCCTCCACTGCCATGCTCCTCCACTGCCATACTCCTCCACTGCCATGCTCCTCCACTGCCATGCTCCACTGCCATGCTCCTCCACTGCCATGCTCCGCTCTCAACTCTCTGTGCTACCCCACACTCGTTCCTTCTCCATCCTTCCCTTTGCCCCTGTGTCCTGCCTGCTCCCCCTTCCCGCCCATCTACTGCCCGCCGCCACCAGTCTGGGGGTGGTGCTGCTGGAGCTGCTGTCAGGCCGCCGTGCTTTCACGCAAGAGGAGAACGTGGAACCGATCAGAGACAGTGTGAGTGCGAGCCAGTGGAGCATTGGGGGGTGGGCGAGTGTTGTGTTCCGAGGCGTGCCAGCTTTGCTGTACCGCCCGCCATCACTGGCTGTGTTTTAAGCAGGATTCCGTTTTGGAGACGTCTCAGAATCTTCCATCCGTTCACTGCAGTCATGAGGCAGCAGCGGACTTAACCACCCAAGGGTGTGGCCCACAGAAGAAGACCCCCGCACTCCTATCTTTTCCTATCGCAACTGGGAACTTCTTTTGTTTGTTTTTTTTTTGCTCTACTGCTTGCCTTTGCCTCCTCGCATCTCGTGCTTGACTCTCCTCACATCCCTCTCATGCCCCGCCTCTCGTGCTCGACTCTCCATGCTCCTCCCCCCATACTCTCCCCCCATGCTCTTCTCCCCATGCTCCTCCACCTCACTCCTCCCCTCCATGCTTCCCACCAACCAGTTTCCCAGCATCTGCCTACCTTCTTTGAGTCATACTGTTTCTGTTTTTGGGGTTCATGTTTCAAGTCGTCAGCATCTGACTTCCTCCCCCCAACCTTCACCGCGCACCAGGTTGAAAGGCTGCTTCAAGCCAACAAATTTGCTGCTCTTTTTGATCCTGCCCTCGCATCCTCCTTCCTCCCATCCACCACCAGCATCCCTACCAGCTCCAGCGTCCTTAGCATCCCTTCCAGCAACTCCAGTGCACCATCATTGCAGACACAGCAGCTGCCAACGCTGCTGATGCTACACTGGGCGTTCCCATACCGAATGTTCTTATACCCAGTTTGGTGCGGCTGGCTCGTGTCGGGCTCGCAAGCACAGCCATGCCTGCTTCCACCCGACCCTCCTTGGGAAGAGTTCTTGCTGAGCTGGAGATTGTGCGGGATGACGTGGCAACAGCACTGAGGAGGATGGAAGAAAAGGTGGAGAAGAAAGAAGGGGAATTGCAGGGAGGGAGGGTTGCCGTGGCAGGCAATAGGGGAAATGAGCATTTGGACTCGTTGGGCAATCCTTCCCTCGCTGACCCTTCCTCCACATCTCCTAATCCTTCCAATGCTCCGTCGCAGCTTCCTCCTCCTCCGCCCTCCCCCCGGCGCCGCTGCTGTGCCAGCAGGTAGGTATGGCGGACGTGCTGCGTGCCACGGCCGGGTGGGCTGCGGAGAGGCGCATTGGCAGCGGCGGGTTTGGCGACGTGTATCACGGCGTGAGCCCCTTGGATGGGTACATGCCCTGGGCCGTGAAGCGCGCCAGAGTGCTCACCAACAACTTCCGACGTGAGGTGTGGTTGGTGTAATGGTGGGGGTTGATATATAGCTCCTCGCTTCAATTCTTTGCTTGTGTATTTGGCAATATAAATGCGTGCTTGTGTTTGTTTGTGATGAACACTTTGTGAATGAAAATTGCTCTATCAACGTATTGACGCGAGGAGCTATTCTGCACACGCACCTATCAACCGTCTAGCGCAGCGCAATTGAGCTTGGGAATGCTCTCAGTATACACGACTGTTTTCACACTTGGGAAAATCCCTCTACAAACAAGGGTCCGCTTTGCCAGGCATCCGAGGACCCTTGGAGGTGACCCCGTAGGGACTACCTAAAGTGTATTAAAGGTGTGCTTAAGAGCTTCTAGGTCCCAAATAGTAGTCAACAAGAACCCCCCCCCAACCCAAATTTCCACCCCCCCCGAGGGTAGTACCGCACGCGCATCTGCGGAGGAAAGGAAAAACAGAAAATGTGGGGGAATTTTTGCTCCTGTGTGTGCTATATCCTTTACCCCCTCCTCCCCCTGCCTATGTGAGTTTTTTTTGCTTGCTTGAACGTTTTTCTACACTATCCGGCCCTGCGACTTTTTAGCGTCTTGGAAACTCGAACACTTGCATCCTCCGTCTAAGACGCTGCGTGTGGACGCTAGCATCCAAGACGCAGGACGCGTTTTTCCCAACATATTCGGCGAGTGAAAGCGAGTGCTGATGTGTACATCGTAAGAAGCCAGCATTCTATGAATTTGGGCAAACAGCAACTCCGTACCCCATGACTCCATGTGACTCCATGACGATCAGTATGCCACTATTTCAAAGCAGTAAATTGTGCTCTCTTCATCCTGCAGGCGAAACTGGCAGACTTTGGTTTGCTGAGACTGGCCGAGGGCAGCTGCTCACTGCAGTCCACGCGAGTGAGGGGTGTCAGAATGTTGTATTTGTCTAGCCTGCAGTGGGGTACTCTATAGCGAGTACAACCCAATTTAGGATTTCCTATATGTACTCAACTGCCTGCTAGTGCAAACCCCTCTTCTCCGTTCCATTCATTCTTCGTTCTATCTTTCACATGCTATAAGAGCAGGTCGACCCTCCCGGGTCGATCCTGTAGATGGGCCCACCGTTAGCTTCTGCTGCTGTCCTGCCTATCGCGCACCTCTCGCGCGTGACGCCTTCTGCCTACCGCACGCCCTGCGCGTGTGGCGTTTTTTCTTCCCGCCGCGCGCCCCTAGCGCGGCGGTTAGCGCGTGGCGGTTTCCTGCCCACCGCGCGTCCCGGGAGCGCGTGGCGGTTTCGTCGCCCGTCGTGGCGCCCCGGGGGCCTGGGCGTCGCCCCCCCTCCCGTCGCTCACCGCGGTGCCCTGGGGGCCCGCGCGTTGCCGCCCTCCCGTCGCCCGTCGTGGCGCCCCGGGGGCCCGCGCGTCGCCCCCCCTCCCGTCGCCCGCCGCGGCGCCCTGGGGGCCCGCGCGTTGCCCCCCTCCCGTTGCCCGTCGTGGCGCCCCGGGGGCCCGCGCGTCGCCCCCTCCCGTCGCCCGTCGTGGCGCCCCGGGGGCCCGCGCGTCGCCCCCTCCCGTCGCCCGTCGTGGCGCCCCGGGGGCCCGCGCGTCGCCCCCTCCCGTCGCCCGTCGAGGCGCCCTGGGGGCCCGCGCGTCGCTTCCTCCCGTCGCCCGTCGTGGCGCCCCGGGGGCCCGCGCGTCGCCCCCTACCATCGCTTGTCGAGGCGCTCCAGGGACCAGCGCGCCGCCTCGCTTCCGCTCGCCCGCTACCCGCGCTCCTGCCCCGTGCTGCCTGTGTTAGGGTTTGGGGTTGGCGAGTCTGGGGGTGTGCGCGCCGTCCCCTGCTCCTCCTCCTCTTCCGTCTCCCACTGCATCAGCTGCCGCTGAGGGGGGTGGATGTGTGGGAGCCGTCGAGGTGGTACTAGGGGGGTGGCGTGTGAGCAGTGCTAGGGGTACAGCAGGGGGTGTGTGAAAGGGGTGTGGGACAGCTGGGGGAGGTTGAGTGGAGGCAGCCGTCTTGTCGTCCGCAGCGCTTGTAGTCCGGGGCTCTGCCGCCGGTAGCCACAGTGCGCGCCGCTCCTGTTGCCCGTGTGTCTGCAGCTTCAGCCGTCGCCTCCCATCTTCTCGCCCCCACAGTCTCTCCTTCTCCTCACTTGCCCTCTGTGATAGCCTCTAGTTTTGCTTATGATTGTCAACTTTTGCTCTACCTGCTTATTGTGCTTATTACACCCCACTTTGGCTATGGGGGTGTGTCAGAATGTTGTATTTGTCTAGCCTGCAGTGGGGTACTCTGTAGCGAGTACAACCCAATTTAGGGTTTCCCATATGTAATCAACTACCTGCTAGTGCAAACCCCTCTTCTCTGTTCCATTCATTCCTCCTATCTTTCACAAGGGGCACGCCAGGCTATATGGACCCCGTGTATTCAATCACTCACAAGGCCACTCCAAGTGCTGATGTGTACAGGTGGGAAGGTGTGTGCATGTGCACACATGCATATCCTGCCCACTTATGCTCTCTGCCCAAGTATTTATGTCCTCGTTTCGTGTCTCACTCAGGTGCTCTCTTTTCACTATAGTGCCTTCATTACACGTGTTTGCTCATCAAGAGCCACTCGTCCGATCTGTCCTGCACACTGCTCCCTCTCTTCCTTCTTCCGTTTTTCCCGCTCGCCTCCCCTGTCCCTCTCGCCCACGCTGCTCTTTGCAGCTTCGGGGTGGTCATGATGGAGCTGCTCACCTGCAAGCGCGTCGTGATGCCATGTGAAGATGGATCACACATCCACATCAAGGAGTGGGTATGTCGTTGCTTCTTTCTTCTAATCAATAATCCCTCTTCTTTGGCTTTTGGTGTGTTGGAAATTGTCCATTCATGCGGCAGCTGTGTTGCATGAAAGCCCTTCTATTTTCGGTCTCACTGTCTCTCTTTCTCCTTCCAGCGCCCCCTCAGTTACTTCCTTGTCGGGCTACCTGTCCTCTCACCCCCTCAACCCCTTCTCTCACACTCCCCCATTCTCTTCCACCCAATGTTGGCAGGTGGAGCAGCACGTGGAGAGAGGGGGCAGTGCGTCTTTTGTCAACGAGGATCTCAATGCACCACATGCCGTGGCCTCCAAGCTAGTTGAGATTTCTGTAATGTGTTTTAAAGCTCGTATCAAATCGACCCAGTATGAGCCATGTGCTAGTTGAGCTTGAAACTCTGTGCAAGGAGCTGATGGGTGGAAGACAGGAGAGAGTAGCCAGGCAACTAGATGCACGAGCTCAACAAGCTTCACAGGATTGTAGCCAACTGGAGGGGGAGCTTGAGATCATACGGTGCTCACTTTAACTAGTGCCCATATGCAATTGGAGTGGGAAGAAATTTAAGACTTTACATTTGACACAAGCAATGAGACTTGTGCTGTGGCCCACAAAGGGTTTGTGCGCATGGATAGCTATTGAAGGTTTATTTTATCTACCGTCATACCCTGAACCTGGACATAATTGCATGCGCGCTTACAATAAAATGTGTTTTTCCAGGTGGTGCGCTTCTCATTGAGTAAAATTTATAAGCATATGCGCATATAAAATTACAACATATAGATATATATAGTTTCAATAGAAAAATGTAGATCGCTTCCTTGCTTATTCCATCGAGTCGAATTGAAACAGGTCTTAAGTGAAATCGATCGCAACTTGGCAGGAAAGATTCCCTGTTAGCAAATACAATCGATGTGAGTTAGTAGCAGGGCATACCGTATGATATTAGTGGAAAATACATTGATTATCATGATTTCAGGGTTCAGTTAACCCCCTTGCCATAAAGTTTCAGAATCTCTGTACTTAAAGCCTTGAGATTTCAGGATGCTTGTTTTGTATCACCCTGAGAATGCAGAGTGCTGAACACATGCCTGCCCTGAGGCCCCAGAGTGCTTATATGGCGTAACTTGAAACAGTTTCACTGTGCGCCTAGGGGGGCCCCTGTGCGAAGTCCATGATTTCCGTAATTTCGTACCGAAAACACGAGAGTCGCCCCCCACCAGTCACTCTGACGACAAAATTGCCCACGTGGGGCAACTTACAGCCGTGCAGCAGGCGTGGCTGCACGTTACCCCTCTAACACCCACCACTAACACGTAACCATTTGCACGAACTCACACATCTCCTGCTGCATCTCCCAAATTGACCATGTGAGAAACAGTAGCTAGAACACAGGATCCATAGCTAGGGTTTGGCTAGCTAGGCAAGAGAGAATAGGCAAAAAAGAGGGGTTTCACTAGCAGGCAGTTGAGTACATAAAGCAAACCCTAACAGGGCTGTACTCACTATAGAGTACCCCACTGCAGACTAGAGAAATTTAACATTCTGACAGACCAAGCGTAGCATAGTGTTAATCAAGTTCCCGCGTGTAGGCTCTATGCGCTGGCATCGCCCGAGGTGTCGGCCAACTCCCATCACCCCACCCATCTCAAGGCAGTGTATATTGGTGGCAACTGGCCACCTTGTTCACCATTTCCTTCCTTCTGTTCCGTACGTTTCTTTGCTCGGCAGGCTCTGCGGTGGTAGCACTATGCTCTGCGGTGTCCTCATGCACCATCTCTGTAACACGGGCTTATAGGGAAACGCCCTTAAAAACACAATAAAGACACGGGCTTATGATTCAATGCAAAAGGGCCTATGATAGGCTTATAAAACGCCAATAACACACATACATAATAGAGACTAGCCCTAACAGTAGCCTCAAGTCTTGAAGACTTGGTTTGTGGGGGAGCTCCACTTCCTCCATAGCAACAAGGGCAAGGATTTCCTAGGAGTGAGTTTTCTTAGGTGGCACAATGGTTGGATTTGTAACCAATGAGAGCAATAGAATTGTGATAAGGATGGTTTTGT